AATAATGTATGATGTCTTAATTTAAGCTGTAAATGTCAATAAACTGAGGGTTGATTGGGGGGCAGTGAGAGGGAGGGGAAAGTGGGTGATTAGCATTGAGGAGGGTACCTGTTGGGATGAGCACTGGGTGTTGTATGGAAACCAATTTGACAATAAATTTCATATTAAAAATAAAAATAAATTTAAAAAAAAGATGTAAATGTCAACTGCAGTTTTAAGAACTGTCATTGTAACCTCTTGAATTTTACTTCCTAAGTAGTAGTCACATGATGAGGGAGTGAATATAATCTAGATGTTCTTTTAATCTCTCTCTCTTTCTCTCTCGTTTTTGTTTTTGGAGGGAGAAGAGTCTTCTAACTTTTAGGTATTCTTCACTGAGAAACGATGACTCAGAAAAGTCTTGTAAAATTGCCATCTTAACTTTGTTTTAGTTGCTAATTGAGTTATTATCAAAAAACAAATACCTGTGAAAACCGAAGACAGTTGTCCTGGTGAATTAGATTGTTAGTATTAACAGGAGATGACTTACAAGGGAAAATTTAAAAAGCAAAAAGCTTCCTCCTGTGTTATTTCTGAAAACCAGCATTACACTAAGCTGTACACGAGTAGGCTGTGATATTTAAATATGAGCGTAGATTTTTTCCCCCCTCTACAGCAGCAACTCTTTAACTTCTCTGGGTCTGAAACTCTGGAAACTGTGGACTCTTTTCCCAGAGGCTTTGTTATGTGCAACATTTTATGTACAGTGTCAAGGGAACCATGAGTTACCACTCCTGTATTTTGATTGTTGCCTTGAACTTGGGGAGAACAATGGAGACAAGTATGTGTCTCAGCAAAGACATTTAAGACGCCACTATTTCATAAGATTTAGAGACCTCAACGACATTTGAATTATGAGTTCCAAAGATTTTAGATTAGCGATCTAGAGAGAGCATTAAATGTTCTAACCTTGAGTTCTTTTTCTCCTGAGTCCTAACACCTTTAGGGCCTGCTATGCAGCCAGTGACAATTTGGCATAAAAAAAACTTTTTCTTGGCTGAGTTTTCAGGATTTCTGCATGCTGCCCCTTATGCATTTTTTTCTTTGTTCTTCCCAGTGTCACGGAGTATGGTCAGTCCTCAAGACATCCAAAAAATACAGCCAAAGGGGCCCATCTAGTAGAGTGGGCCCATCATAAAGTGACTAGTGTTGCTGTTTTATGCATTTTACAATCTGGCATAGTACTGACATCCTCATACTCCAAATCACAAAGCTCACTGGGATAATTTGGCGTTCAGTAAAATTTTTAATCAGTTAATTTTTTTATATTAATTTTAATAATTAATTTTAATTATTTTTTTTAATTTTTAAAAAAAATTTTTTTTTAAATTTTTTAAAAATTTAAAAAATTTTTTAATTTTAATTTTTAATATTAATTATTAATTAATTAATAATTAATTTTAATAATTAATTTTAATCAGTTAATTATTTTATATTTTGCCCTGAACTTCTTTTAGAAACTAGAATAGATTTGTTTTCAGAATCTACAGTTTTGATTACTTATCTGTTTGACCCTACCAACGGGCTACTTCCCTAGATTCTAAGCCTCGTTCCTGGGTTTTGGTTTTTGTTTTGTTTTCAGCTTCCAGTCTCTACAGGAATATTTAATACATGTTGAGCACTTTCCTAGTGGTCTTCTAAACTGTTCCTGGTCTCTCTTCTGTCCTTGCTGTAATCCATCCTTGCAGACCAATCTTTCTGAATTTGTCCCATCCCTCCCTGCTTAGACATTTAATGCAGCACCACTTCTTCTGTGAGAAAGTTAGATCAGACTCAATTTTCAGTAACTAGTTTGTTCCCTTTATTTTAGAGACAAATAGAGGTTCTATAGAGAAGAAACGATATGTCTAAGGAAGAAGTGACTTGCTGTACGGTTCTGGTAAAACGTGTCTTACTGAGCCTCACTGTCTCCTAGTGGGCTGCCTTCACCCAACACTCAAGTCCTTCTCTCATGTGGCTTTCCTGGCATATTTCCTACCTCTTACCTGCTGGAGCTTGATTTATCTGTCCACGATTTCCCAAACACCCCTTGTGCTTTCCCATTTCTTTGTCTTTGCATACGACCGCTCCTCTAGGTAGGAGAAAATTGAGGCTAAAGTAGATTAAGGAACTTGCCCAAGATCTCTGAGTTACCAGGCTGAGGGCCTGGATCCAACCCAAACAGCATTCCCAGCACCTGTGCAGTATTCCCAGCACCTGTGCAGTGACTCCTACATCAGACTAACTCAAAGGAACATCTAAACTCCGGGCCCAAGGCTTCCTCTATACTGTCACACTTCCTATAATGATCCATGTATATCAAGCTGAATTTATCACAAGGTTATCTGTGCTGAGTGCTCTTTAACACACTCTTGTGTGCTTGGAAAGTAATACAGTAACTCATGAAGCAACCATAAGAATCTACAACTTGACTCCCTAAGTTCTCCCTAAATTCTCTTCCAAATAGAATTGGAAAGGAACCAATGTAAGCTGAGAAAATAATAAAGGGAGACTGCCCTAGAGATGACTTACTGAGCCCAGCACGTGGGGCCAGGTTTGTATCCTTCCTGCATCTGGAACTCTTGAGTTCTGCTACCTGGAGACACCAATTAACCCCTCTGGGCCTCCATGTCTTCATCTATAAAATAGACACAATAATATATGTCTCATGAAGTTGTGGCAGACTGTACATGAAAATTTTTTATGGATTATGAAGCATTTTTAGAAATAGTATTACTTTTCATCCTATCAGAAATTAAATATCAGCAAATCAGTTTAATGCAGAATTTATTATTATATACCCCTTCTCCCCAAGTAATAAGGTATAGAGATTTCAGTGTGTTGGTCAGAGAACTTCTTGTAAGGTTTCTTTGACTTCTTTGAACCAATTTATATATATAAATTAATAATAAAATTAATTGACCATATCCCTTATATTTCTTCCTGCTTGTTAGGAGTATGTATATATATACTCAGGTCCTAAATTTGCTGAATACGAATTCTGTCAATTTTATAAAGATGGTTAGAAATAGATAATGTAAATTATCCTGAAGAAGGGGCTAGCAGGTTGTGTTCGGAACACCTGCCACTTCTTGTCCAGTTTTTCCATCTGGAATGGCTTTCATTTACAAGGTTGGTTCATATAATAGAATGTTGTTGCTTAGTCTAATTCCAGTTTTTACACATGTGGAAGTGTCCACTGTTTCTTTGCCAGCAGGGCTTACATAAAATGACTGGGTAATTTTGCCTTTCAAACATGGGGATAAAGATCCAAAAGACAAAAGAAATCATGGAAGCATGGGGAGAAATTTGAGAGGAAGAACGTACCCAGGACAAATGTGCAGATAGTAGATGAAATGTGTAGTAGAACAAAGAGGCAAGGGAGGCACTGCTGTCCAAGATCTGAGTTCTAGTTCTCGTCCATACTCCTCACATTGTAGCTGTGTGACCTCTTTGAGCCTCAAGTTCTCCGTCTGTTAAATAGAGATAATGTGTCACAGGGATCGGAAGACTAGATGTGATGAGGCAACATAAGCCCTTCATGAGCACAGTGCCTGGCACATACTACATATTCAGAAAAGGTTAGGCTCCAGACTAAGGTGAGTGTAGAACGAGTAAGATGTACCCTTGGAGGTAGAATGGTGGTAAGCACGAGGGAGCAGTCGCTCCCTTGGCTCCCTTCTGACTACTTATGCCTGTGCCTAGATTCTTTTCTCACCAAATTTTTCTCAGATTCTAGAAGCTATTGGCATGGCCAGGAAGAAACATACAGATTGTGTTACGGGAGACTTGTCGGAGGTGACCCAGTCCAGCAAATGTGAGCAAGATCCTAGCTTAATGTGGGGAAGAGCAAAGTTTTGGGATGTATTGCAGACGTAATAGTGCAAAACCACACTTTTCCACCATATGTTGTCTTAAGACTCCATGGTCTGAATCAGTTGTTGGCTGTATTCAGCTGGAAATGGTAATAGTGGTGGCATGACCGAGCTAGTACTGTTTGTAGGAAAGGAGATCAGGGAATCTAGAACTCTAAGACACCAGGATATATATTCTAGAAGTCAGTTGCCAATATATCTCTCAGTAAAGAATCTAGATTGTGTTTATGATGTGTCTGGCACATTCAGTTAGTTCGTACATTGACTATTTGGGCATGGGTACTTTTATCTCCATTTTATAGATGAGAGAAACCAAAGTACAGAATTTAGCTTTGGTTCCAGATCAGGTATTTGGTCAACATATGCCACAATGACTGATAAAATTTGTTAGATATTTTTTAAAAGCCTGTGAAAGAAGCTAGGTAAACATTTGAGACCTTTCTTAAGTCCTGGGGAAGCAGATTAAGCTCTCTCACAGAACTGAATCTTTACAAGTTAGGTTAGAAAGCACTTGGATCTCATAAGTAATAGTTCTTTGGAAGTTTCACTGACATTTTTTTCTAGGATCAATAAATTCTCAAACTTGCATCAAAGTCATCTAGAGAATTTGTTAAGTAAGATTCAGTAGGTCTGATGTGGTCTGAGAAGTTACATCTCTAGCAGGTTCCCTGGTGATGTTGACACATCGCTTTGAAAACCACTGGCAAAAGAACCCAAAACAAAGAAGACACATCATATTATTGATTCTTTGGTGAGACAGTAGGAAACTAGTCCTGGGAGGGAATTCCAAGACCACAGGTAAAAATTGAAATTTAGAGGTTTCCAAAATTCAATGGATTGAATTAGCCACTCATTATTGAATTTGGAGTCCAAAAGACTTGTATTGTCACTTCCTTTTTTTTTTTTTTTTTTGAGAGTGCCTGTGATTACAAAGGGAAATCAAGAAAGGAAAATCACTATGTAAATATTGAAATTCAGTGGTAACTTAACGATATGACACGTGTGTATGTGTTTTCCTCCAAACCATTAAAAATAATGATTAATTGATATATATGAATTTTCTCATGGATTTTTTTTCCTTCTTTGTTTTTCTTCTGGTCTCTGTAGGTGGCAAATCTTCCAAAAGACTATAAGATAGCCCTCAAATATGTCCCCGGGATGGATGTTTTGGTATGTAAACTGTACATTTCTGTGTTTCTTTTTCAGAGCTGACAAAAGAGATGAGAACATTCTATTGAGACAGGAAATTATCTGCCATTTAGGAGTTTACTGATTGTTAGTATTTGAAGAAGGTATTTTTGGAATTTGACTTGCATAGTTTTGTTTTTGGCTTTTTGTTTTTTTTTTTTTTTTTTTTTTTTTTTTTTTTTTTTGAGCAAGCAAGAGCAGAGGAGGGCCAAAGAGAGAGAATCCCAAGCAGGCTCTGTGCTGTCAGCAAAGAGCCCAGTGTGGGGCTCAAACCCATGAACCATGAGATCATGACCTGAGCTGAAATCAAGAGTTGGGCACTCGACTGACTGAGCCACCCAGGCGCTCCATAAATATGTATTTTTAATGAAACATTATAAATACTACCATGCCTCTTTCCTATCTCCAGTGGTCCCCACTTTGTCTCGTACAGGCAATTTGACTCTTAGGAACAAGTATTTTGAGCTGGAATCTTTCATTCTACCATGTGTTTTCAAGTCATGGCCTGAAGAGAAGTGTTGAGTGCAACAGTGCATAGTAACTCTGCCTGCTCTTTCATATTTACGGCAAACTATGCACCCAGAAGATACTGTATTTTTTGCATATTTTCATATTTATGTTAATTACACTGTAGTACATATACCACTTTGCAACTTGCTTATATTTTGTGACATGCCTTTGACCTATAATGTGCCGATCCACGATGCTTCATTTTAACTACTGGATTGTGTTCCTTGACTTAATTTAAAATCGTTTGGGTTACTCTGCAAGTAAACATCTTTCCACGATTTATGAAATGCTTATTATAAATCCACCCTGTGCAAGTTGTCTTAGGCTTTGAATACTTTTTGTGGCTTAGTCAATCAAAATGATGACCATTTTAAGTGTGTTACATCACTAAGTGCTTATGCTTAAAAAGTCATTCAAAGACTATAAGGTTATTTTCAAGAGAATGTCAAAGGCCAATTTTCATTAAGAAAGTAAACATTTTAGCACGAGCTATCTAAAGTTCCTTAGAACTCCTTAGAATGTGTTTCTTCATGTTGAACCAGATACCCTCAAGTTTAGGTTAGTGTCTGTTCCACTGAAATAGGGGGAGTTCTCTTCAAATAGGAATGTAAAATCATAGCAGCTTGAAAGTTAATTCATCTATTCAGTCAATCACTCAGGCAGCAGGTACAATATTTGTTAGGAAAAGTTCTGGAGCCAGCCCTTTGGCAGACATTTTAAGGAACAAACACATCAATTAGCTTTATGTGCAAAAAATTTAATAACTAGGTGAGGGGGACTATCTGGCCTTTTCATAATGCTTTTTTTTTTTTTTTTTAACTTTCATGATGATTTCACATATTTATTTCTTTGGATGGTTAGAAAAACCCTTCAAGGAGGGAAAGACAGCTTCTGTGATTTGTATGGGTTCTTGTTTTACAAATGACACACTGAGGTTTATAAGCATTTTGCCCACAGTTGTCCAACTAAAAAGTGACAGTCTTAAAAAGAAACCTCTAGTCATCAATAGCAAGGGAGGGTGTTCTGAGTGAAACGTGTAAGTAATAAAGGTGCACCTTGCTCCTGGCAGAAGCATTTAGGTCTGTGATTGCCAAACTCAAAGAAATCATGCAGCTTTTCATGTTAAATTGAAAATAACAAAATAGATTACTTTGTGCTGATAAAATCCTAGGTTGTGCTCAGTCACACATTTTAGTATGGGCTGTGGTAGCAAGAGCCAAACTTGCAAAAATAAAGCTGATTCATTGCCACGTTTTTTTTTCTTGTTTCTGTAATTGAGAAAAGTCCACTATTATTTGATCTTGGCACACCGTCCTGGCACAACTGGAGAAAACTTTGTTCTTGGCTACCACAGTTGGCAAGAAAAATAAGCTCGTGCATAAGGCTTTGGGTAGAAACGGGGTCTTACACTTTGTTTTACCTTTATTTTAAAATATTAGTTTCTGCCAAGACCAGAGGAGTTTCCCAGTGGAGAGGCCAGTGATTATTTGTCAGTGGTCAGAGACCCAGCTGCGTTATATTTTGTCTTTAAACAATAAAGGGTGGAGTAGGAATCAGAATGAGCACCAGAAAGATTCTCTGGGGCCACGGCAATAAAATTCCGTCTTGAAGCACGGGGCAGAAGGTGGCTCTAGAATAGAATACGCTTTATTGTTGTAGTTTTGCTTTAAAATTCTGCTAAGTACTCCTGAAAATGGTGGGGGTAGGGGAGGTACTTTTCTAAGGGACCTCTTAGAAAATTACCTAGCATTTCCTTGTCACAAATAGCAGGGTGCTACCAGCCAGTTGGTATTTAAACCTGATGATAATCACCAATTCTGTCTTAAGCTCTTGAAACTGTAATATTGCCAGGCTGTTAGGATTTTAAGTCACTAACCTTAAAAATCCTAAACATTTCTGATCCTTTCATTTACCAGTGACATTATTGCAGAAAGACCAAAAATTGGATTGCTGAATTTGTGCCACACATCTGCTGTTATCCGAATGTTTATAAAATGATATATATTTTGATTTGCTTATGGTATTTGAGTAAAAAGAAGATTTATCCATTTTTAATTATAGATTTATCAGCTTTAACTTTTTGTTTGGAAATAATTCCAAACTTAAAGAAAAGTTGTGAGTATTCCAAAAACACTCACAAACTCTTTAATGCATATTCGTCTACTTTTAACATTTTGCCTCATTTACTAAAGTAAATGTGCAAACGTGTGTGTTATTGTTTTTCTGAACTCATTGAATCACTTGTATATATAAGGGATGTTTACTGCTACATACTTCAGTGTGTGTTTCCTAAGTAAAGGCTCTTCTTCTTTGTAGCCACAGTATGGTTGTCAACTTCAGTACATTTACCAATAACTAAAATACTTAAATCTATTGGCTGTATCTTTTTAGTATTTTCCTCTAGTACAAGATCCAGTCTAGGATAATGGCTTGCATTTTTACATCAGGTGTGAGACGGCCAAATGTCTCCCAAAGATGTCCCATGCTGTGACCATATCACCTTACATGGAAAAAGGGATTTTGCAGATATAATTAAATGCCCCATCTCTAAGTCCTTAAGCTATCTGAAATTATCCAGATTGTTCTATTCTAATCACATGAATCCTTATATGAGGGAGGCAGAACTATCAGAGCCAGAGAGAGTGATTAGAAGATGTTACGCTATTGGCTTTGAAGATGGGGAAGGGGCCACGGGCCAAGGGATGCAGGTGGTGGCCTCTAAAGGCTGAAAAGGGCAAGGAAAATAATTCTCCTGAAGAGCCCCTTTGAATAAACCAGCCCACGTGCACACCTTGATTTGAGCCTAAACAGCCTGGAGTTGGATCTGACCTCAACAATTGTAACATCATAAATTTGTACTGTTTTAAGCCCACCAGTCTGCTTTAAGAGTTCCTCAGCCTGCCTTTTGTCTTTATGACACTGAGATTTTTGAGTAACTCAGCCCTCCTCTTTAAGTAAAACGTGTGTCTCTGAGACACTTGATTGGTGTTTCTTGATGACTGTCATATTCAGGTTATGTGTTCCAAGCCATGAATGCTATATAAGTGATGAAACATCCTCAGGTTATCATACCCAGAGGCACACAGTGTCCATCTTCCCCCTTCATGGTGCTGTTTGGATCACCTGATTAAGGTGTTACACTGTTTCTATGTGTTTACTCATGAGCAACTCAGAAGCAATATTTGGGGAGATGTTTTAAGACCATGTACGGTTCTTCATCAAAGTTTATCCCACAAATTGAGTATGTATTGACGATTCTTACCTGAACCAGTCTTTGCCACATCAGTTTCTATTTTCAAAGGCAGGGTTAAACAAAGAAGCCCTTGGCAATATGTAACAATAAGCCTGCAGGCCACCTTCCCTTTAGCGCCTTCACCCTCGTGTCCAGGATTCCCATTCTCAATTCTCCCCACCTTTCTCTACCTGGCCCTGCGGCCTCTGGGCTCTTCCCATCTCCCTCGCCATTTCAGGACTTCTCATTTGAGGTTTTGACTCTTCTTGAGTAGACAGAGTAATTAAAAAAAAACAAACACACCTGATTATTTTACCCCTCCTTCTTCATACACTTTGATGTCTGTGTGCCTGTTGCTCTTAGGAAACAGAAAAAGGAGCTCCTTAAATAACACCTTCAAGATTCTCATGATCTGGCCCCTTTCCAAGTCCTCTTTTAGCCGCACATTGCCACTGTTCCTCTGCACACGGCTTTCTGTGTACCTGAGCAGTCCTTTGATTCCGGCAACTTCTGACTCTTGCTTTCAATTTCACTTCTTTAAGGAAGCCTTCCCCTTCTTCCTCGAAGAAGCCAAATCCTCCTGTTGGAAACTCTTTTTGTAACCTCCTTCAAAATTGCAGTTTTCCATTTATCTGTGGATTTAATTGATAACCTTCTACTTAACGCCTGTAAACATCTGTAAGGCAGGAATTTGTCGATGTTTGCTCTTATGTCTTCAGTGCGTGATGAACAATAGGCACTTAATAAATCCCTGCTGAAAGTGAAGAAGGAAGAAGTTCCCATGTCATCTCATGTAATTTCTCTAAGGAACAAATTTGACCTGAGTAGAGTCCATGAGATTATTGTGTTGAGTGCCTGTAACTCCTCACACAATACCTGCACTTCAATATTATTGCTGTCTTTTTTTTTAGATATATGTGTATTTTGTTAAAAATCTTAGATATGAGGTATTCAATTTTTAAGGGTTTTTTGTATGTTTAGTTTTGAGAGAGAGGGAGAGAGAGAATGTGAGTGAAGGAGGGGTGGAGAGAGAGGGAGACAGAATCTGAAGCAGGCCGCAGGCCCCAGGCTCCAAGCTGTCAGCACAGAGCCTGACACGGAGCTCAACCTCACGAACTATGAGATCATGACCTGAGCTGAGTCGGACACTCAACCAACTGAGCCACCCCACGTATTATGCAATTTTTAGGAATCATGGTTTTCTTGAGGCTTCTGTCCAACCACTTTCACTGAGTCATTT